GTCTGTTCAAGGTATCCATGTTTGAATCGGATAACAAGATGTCGTCCATGTAATGGTATACTATAGATTTGGGAAATTTCTTGCGTATTATTTGTAATGGTTGGTTCACAAAATATTGGCACAGGGAGGGGCTATTTAACATACCCTGGGGGAGAACGGTCCAGTGGTACCTCCTCGAAGGTTGAGAATTGTTATAAGTAGGCACTGTGAAGGCAAATTTTTCTCTATCTTCTTTTTGCAAAGGTATAGTGAAAAAACAATCCTTTAAATCAATAACTATGAGAGGCCATCCTTTTGGTAATAAAGAGGGCAAAGGAATTCCAGATTGCAGAGGGCCCATAGGTTGAATAACCTTGTTGATGGCCCTGAGATCTGTCACCATTCTCCATTTACCTGATTTTTTCTTAACCACAAATACAGGAGAATTCCAAGGGCTGGTAGATTCTTCTATATGTCCAGCATCTAATTGTTCTTGTACCAGCTGTTCTAAAGCCTGTAACTTTTCCTCAGCTAAAGGCCATTGCTTTGTCCATATTGGTTTCTCAGTCAACCATTTTAGAGGCAAGGCTGTTGGTATCTCTGAAGGGACATCAATTGCTTGTTCTTTTACAGCCCGAATGGCCGGTTTTCTCAGTTTGTAATATCTTTTAATATTATTCTCAGAAATATAGGCTCTTGATTTAGCAGGAATGTTAATTTCAGTATTCCATTGTTGTAATAGGTCACGACCCCATAAATTCATTGCAATATTGGCTACATATGGCTTTAATTTTCCTATTTGTCCCTCTGGCCCTATACATTCAACCCATCTCGTGCTCTGCCTTACTCGAGATAGGGTTCCAATTCCCAGGAGCTGAACATTTACATTCTGAAGAGGCCAATACGGATGCCAAGATTCTGGGGTAATGATACTTACATCAGCACCTGTGTCCAGCAGGCCAGTAATAAAAATGCCATTTACACACACTCTCAGTTTAGGTCTTTGATCATTTATAGAAGTTTGCCAAAACACACGTAACTTATCTTTCTGATCATTATTGCTTGTAACAGTAGGCATGGGGCTTCCTAATTGTCCTGATGAGGCACGTTCTCTGCAGAAACTGGATATGACTGAACCATGTTTGCCATGGGGGCCTGTGAGGCCCCCCCTCTCACGTTTCCCGGCTGTATCAGGTTGCCTTGTCTATCTCTTGTAGACCTGCATTCATTCGTCCAATGTCTGCCCTTTCCACATCTTCTACATAAACCTGAAGGCTGAGTCCTCCTATTTCTGTTATTTCTAGAAGATGCATTATTATTATTATTTCTGAAAGATGCATTATTATTATTATTTCTGAAAATCCGTTGTTTACAATTCCTTTTAATATGACCCATTTTTCCACAATTAAAACATTTGGTATTCTGGTGTCTCCTTTTACCATTGGAAATTGCTTCTTCTACCCATGCTTCAGTGCCATAATCAAATGTATCAACATTGAGTGTATGCAAGACCCATTCTTCCAATGGTGCTGATCTGAGCTTTAAAGGACCCAAAATCCTTTTGCATTCCACATTTGCATTTTCATAAGCCAAAGACTCAATCATTATACGTCTTGCTTCTGGGTCAGATATTCCTACTTGTACAGCCTTAGTTAATCTTTGTAAAAAGTCACTAAAGGGTTCTCTCTGACCCTGTTTAACTCTGACAAATGATTCCATTCTCTGTCCTGGGTCTTGTACCCTGTCCCAAGCCCTTAAGGCTGCTGTAGTACACATGGAGAGTGTGTTTTCATCCAAATTAGCTTGTTCCTGAGGATCAGAAAAGAGCCCTTCACCTAGAATTTGATCTAGGGAAATGTCAATTCCCTTCGCTTTTTCCTGCTGTTCTAAGAGTCTAGCCTCTTGCCTGAATAAGCATTTCCATTTCAATTGCGGTCCACTCTCCAGTACTGCAGAGCTCAGCTGGAGCCAGTCTGAGGGGGTTGCTCTGCTTGTCGTGGCCCAAGATCTTAGCATCTCCTTAACAAAAGAGGCTTGCATCCCAAAAGTCATGACAGCCTGTTTTATTTCCTTGAGATCATTCATACGCACAGGTTCCCATGTATCCTCCTTGATGACCCTAGGGTTTTTGGAACCAATCACCTTCTCTGTTGTTATTACTGGAAAGGCAGGTAGAGCTGTAGGTAGAGCTTTGTGGAAATTGTCCCGGAGAGACTTACCCACAGATGTAGTTAAAATTTTCCTTTCTACCCTTTGCTCTTCCTCATCAGAATTTAGAAATTCCTCAATCTTTTCAATTCTATTCACCATTGCCTTCTGCAATGTCTGAATCTCCTGTCCAGAATTATGTTCCAAAGCCTTCATTGAGGATTCTAAAATATGAAGTTTGTCCGTTAGAGATAACATCTCATCTTTGGACATAATTTTTATGGCATAAACCGTGCCTTCTTGTATTGACAATCTTTCCGTCAATCTGTCATAAGCTTTAGACAAAATCCGATTGTCACATTCAGCAGTTTTGATTCTCTCAGTTAATGTTTCATTTCCTACAGAAAGGGACTGAATCTTATGGTCCAGATCAGCTGTTCCCTCTTCCATAGTAATGAATTTCTCCTTAACATCAGCCTGAAGAACTTCAACCTGATTCTTGAGAAGATTGTTATCAGCCTGGAGAACTTCAAACTGATTCTCGAAAAGATTGTTATCAGTCTGGAGAACTTCAACCTGATTCTTGAGAAGATTGTTATCAGCCTGGAGAACTTCAAACTGATTCTTGAGAAGATTGTTATCATTCTCAATTGTTTTTAAGCGTTCAATCTCTACCTTAAGAATCCTGGATTCGTCTCGTAAAGACTTTATCATATTTCTATTATCAAACCATTTGGTGCCAATGAAAACTACGAATCCCAGAAGGATCCATATATGTGGGGTGATAGACACCTCTTGTAAAATCTCCCACATGGTACAATTAAAAAAATCATTAAATTCTTGAATAGTAATGTGTTCAGACATTTTATTTATAAAAGAAAATTTTTTTACCTGCAAAGATCGGTTCCTGCCAGTGGTGGTCTCTGTGTTTTTGGAGCCTGTCCTAGAACTAGCTCTTGTAGACCAGGCTGGCCTTGAACTCACAGAGATCCGCCTGTCTCTGCCTCCCAAGTGCTGGGATTGAAGGCGTGCACTACCAAGGCCTGGCAGGCCTCAAACTCACAGAGATCTGCCTGCCTCTGCTTCCCAAGTGCTGGGATTAAAGGCGTGCTCTACCACTGCCTGGCCGGCCTCAAACTTGTGATCCTCCTGCCTCTGCCTCCTTCAGCAAATCCTACCGGCGTGGGCCACCACAACCGGCCAAGTCACTTTGTAACAGACCAAATCTGACGCTGTGGCAGCTTTTGTTGCAAAACCGCAAGTACTTGAGCTTCTGCTAATTCAGGCAGTGGGGTTCCGCTGCAAAACTTAGCCAAGGCAGGCAGAATGGGCCTGTGTCGCGAGTGTGTCTCGGACTCGGCACTGGGGCCGGAGTCACGAACTGAAAAACAGCACCGGGGAGGGTGCTGTGTTAGCTAGCGGGCTACCCGCTTGAGTCGGGGGCAAAATAGCCCGACGTTGGACGCCAAAATGTAACGGCGTAAATGAATGCAGACAGAGTGTAGAAATATATATATATAGATTTAATGTAGAAATAGACTTACAGAACCACCGTTCCCGCGGAGACCAGGAAAGCAGAAGCAAGCGCTCAGAGCTTGCTGGCCAAATTTATAGGCAGACATTAGCCCGAGGCGAACACGCCCCCTAAGGGGCGGGACTTATCCCTACAGTTATGTGCACTGGAGGGAAAAAGGGTTTTAGATTTTCTGTTTAATGTATTTAAACCCTTGGTCTCTAATTCCTTTTACTTTGAGAAAAACCCTTATTACTGCTATGTGTTTATTGTTAGCTTAAAGTTGTGTTTGGTTTCCATTTTTTTTCCCTTTGGTGTGATTTGGAAATTTTGTTTTTCCTTAAAATGGTTTTAGATTTTCATTTGTCTACTTTAGCAGAAAAATAATATATAAATTACTATGAAACTATTAAAATAGATAAAAGGATGTTCGAAATATAGATTACTGTATTGATGAGTAGATGTTATCATGTCATTGAGCAGAGTAAATTGAGTTATAAACTAGTCTGCAAGAACAAACCCTAAGGTTCCAAATTCTGCTGTTGACTGATGTATGGCTAGACAGTATTTCTTTCCTTTTCAGATTAAGAATTAGTATATGTGGATATGTCCTTGAGAAACACGCATGGTGCAGAGTAGACCACTAGTTCCTATTTTGTTAGAATTAGTATATGTGGATATGTCTTAAGAAACACGCATGCAGAGTAGACCACTAGTTCCTATTTTGTTAGAATTAGTATATGTGGATATGTCTAAGAAACACGCATGCAGAGTAGACCACTAGTTCCTATTTTGTTAGAATTAGTATATGTGGATATGTCTAAGAAACACGCATGCAGAGTAGACCACTAGTTCCTATTTTGTTAGAATTAGTATATGTGGATATGTCTAAGAAACACGCATGCAGAGTAGACCACTAGTTCCTATTTTGTTAGAATTAGTATATGTGGATATGTCTAAGAAACACGCATGCAGAGTAGACCACTAGTTCCTATTTTGTTAGAATTAGTATATGTGGATATGTCTTAAGAAACACGCATGCAGAGTAGACCACTAGTTCCTATTTTGTTAGAATTAGTATATGTGGATATGTCTAAGAAACACGCATGCAGAGTAGACCACTAGTTCCTATTTTGTTAGAATTAGTATATGTGGATATGTCTAAGAAACACGCATGCAGAGTAGACCACTGGTTCCTATTTTGTTAGAATTAGTATATGTGGATATGTCTAAGAAACACGCATGCAGAGTAGACCACTGGTTCCTATTTTGTTACAATGTTCCCTTCTTTGAAGTTCTTCCAGCAAGTTAGGTGTGGGGTTGACCTTGCCCGTGCCCATAGGCTCTACCCTGTCCACAGCACCACTGGCTGTGCGCAGCCTGCAGGACCTGGCCAGGCTTGCTATCCGTGGCAGCATCAAGAGGGCTATGCGCCAGGAAGCCACCAGAGGAGGTGGACTGAAGAGCACACCTATGTTTAAAAGAAGGCGACTTCGTCGTCGGCGAATGGAGACCATTGTCTTTTTGGACAAAGAAGTCTTTGCCAGTCGAATTTCCAACCCCTCTGATGACACCAGCTGTGAGGATGCAGAGGAGGATTGGCGGGAAGTGGCAGAGAGGACCTTACGGGAGGCCAAGCCTGAGCCACCAGTAAACTTCCTTCGCCAGAGGGTATTGCGCCTCCCATTGCCCGACCCCCTGAAGTACTACCTGCTGTATTACAGGGAAAAGTGAGCTTGTGGGAGAGTGGGACCAGGATACCCAGAACAAACCGCTGGCCAGGTACACGTGTCTTTTCCCTTCATTGGTTCCTGACTATCCTCTAAAACTTTCATGCAATGGTGTGATTTATTTAAGCACAATCCAACAAGAAACTTCATTGAATTATTTTCCTCAGTGGCGGGGGTGGGGTGGGGTGTGCATCTTGTTGGTTTTGCTGTAATTTGAACTCACTGGGACCTGCATGATATCTGCTCCTCATGCAGGCAAACTTATACATTGAGGCTGGAACTGAATTGTATTGGATCCTGTGTGAAGCAAGGGGCATGTTTGGAAAGGTGTGAGGGCATCTTTGGGTGTGACATACCACTATTCAGCTTGAATTTATGTCGTGATTCTATTGCTGGCACTGAGTTCATCTGACTTTTGTTGTTTTCTAGGTTGGGAAATGTTGGAAAGCCTCTCTTATGTTAATCAAATCTTATGTGAAATATCAACTTGAAATTTTTAAAAGGAAAAGAAAATGAGATGCAGGAGGAAGAGGAATAAAATATAAAACTGCCAGACGTCTTTCTGAAATTTCCAAAGGCTTCTAAGTAGTTGACCCTCTCTCCCTCATGCCCTCTGTTACTTGATAGGAACCACCATCAAGTAATCTCTTACAGGATAGTCTAAAAAGAAAACAAGTTTTTCTTACTTAAAAAAAAATGTGTGAGTGATAAACTAGTCACTGAATTGCAAAGACCAGAACAGGTTTCTAAGGTATTTAAATGGGAATTTTCAGAGCAAGTAGAGAGACTGCAGGGTGTTACAGACAGCCCCCTCCCTGCATACTTCTTGACTTTAGTTTGCTATCTTTCTGTGATCATACTAGAGTATCAATTCATAGATTTTTATCTTTTATAATTCTGGAAAAAATTGTTAGTTTTGTAAATTTTCTTAAGAACAGATATATGTATTTTACTAGCTCCATTGCATTAGAGCAGTTTAACCCAGTGAGTTGTGAAATTTATTATCTCCAGGGTGTTGGTGTTGAGAACTATCAATATTTTTTTTAAAAAGCAACCTTTCTGGCTGTCAGAGGGCAGGACTTGAAGTTACATTACTGATTCCAAAAGCTGGCTCTTAAAAAAAAATCTTTTTTAACCCAAAGAAAAGAATAGTGTAAATTGTTAACAATAAACCCAAATTAGAGTGTTAATTTAGGATTTAAGTACTGAGATTTTATGATTTATTTTCAGGTTAGCCTCACATGACTTGCAGGGAGAGGTTTGATTTGTGATTTCTCCAGCTTAAATGGATATTTTGGATCTTTTTTCTTTTTCTTTTTTAAGTTGAATCATTTTACCACACAGTATAGTCTGCATGTATAGTTGGTAAAACATATATTGCCCTATATTATAAATATAATGTACACTTACATTACTTTAAATATAAGCTATTTAAAGAAAGTTCATAGTTGTTTTTACCTGCCGTTTAACTCCACGTCAGGCTTCTTTTCTTTCAGAGAGAATTGCATGCTCTAACTTGGCTTGCAAATGTTTGTGGTTTGCAGATCTTAGTTGATGTTAACTCTAATTGTTAGGTAGACTTTTGTTACTGGAATTTTGAACATAAATTTAAATAAATCTGTAAAGTCTGTATATTAGGTGGCTTGACTGAATTTTTTCCTGTGATTGCATGTGGGCTGCATTTTGAAAAACCACATTTGCCTTTATGCTGGATTAAAAAAATTATAATGCATGAGACATTTTCCTTTACATGATAAACTTTTCTTAGCATTTTGTATTTATATTTTGTAGTTGTTATCACTCTGCATTTTAAATCATAATTCAATTGAATAGAGTTATAACATGTGAGAAATAGATTGGTCTTTATAAAACCAGGGAAGAATTGGAATTTTCTTGTGAGTAAACACACTTTGTTGCCAGAATTTAGTATAATGTACCGCATTCTTTTTTAGACTACTAAATCTTAATGTAATCAAATGTCTTCAGGATTTGTATTGTAAACAACATTGATAACTGCTTTTGTTTTAAGGAGTGGTTATTTTTAAACATGTGACTTCTGTTTTAATGTAAGAATCAAAGGTATACATAAAAATAGATTTGCCAATGTGCAACTTAAAGTCGAAAATCTAAGAACTTTAGAAACACTGTTTTTTTTTTCTTTCAATGAGATGAAACACATGGGGAACTCAAGTGAATCAATAAAAAAGTAGTTAAGACATTTTATTCTCAGCATTGCTTCTGTGTTGAGTATGGAATTGGTTACATTTACATCTTGCTAAAATCCCATTCTGTTCAGTGGGCTTGCAGTTTGTACACGTTCCAAATGTCAGTTCCTTTTTTTTTACATTGTGTAATTATTCCACACCTGCAAACACCCTAGTGTTGGCATATCCAGCACATGTAGAAGTGAGTTTATCAGATGCCATCCCAAAGCTAGATTCAAATTGGCCATCAAAATCCATCATCCATCAGATTACCTTCAAAACAGTACATAATTCTAAGAGTCTGTAAAAGAGCCTGTTTTCATTTAATTAACAAAAAACAATATTAAGAACCTTTAAAATATCCAGACTGATGGAAAAATCAAGTTGACACTCTGACCACTCCATAATATTTAAAAAAATTAATGATTAATATGGATACTTTTTATATAGATACTTGTTATTTTTGCTTGATTCAGAGGAAATATTATTATTTATGTGGTGATTCTCTTAAAGTATCTCAGCAGGCTGATATCTGTCCACTCATCCAAAGAGATTTCTTCTTAACCCTGTTTTCACACTTCTACTGTCGGCCAAGAATCCTTGCATGAGATAATGATGGGTCTCCCACCTGACTGAGCTGCTTCTCAGTTCCTAGTAGCATAAAGGACAGGAAATGATATCACTAGTGGGAGAAGTCCAGCAGGCATTAGAGCTTTGTTCTGGACCCTGTCCTTACTGTCAAGTTAATGAACAGATCTAGTATTTGACTCTTCCAGGGAACAAGCCAGGTCTCCCACTATGAAATCACATCATTGCCTATATTTTCCACATGCAGACTTGATCAGAACCCACAAATTCATCATCCCATCAAGAATCCCTCAAAGAAACAGTTACCAGCAGAGACCTTCTCTGGAAGCTCCACTCTTTAGCCCCCTCATCTGTAAGTACTTGGGTACAAGGAGGATACTTGTGCAGGTGCTGAGCACTGGCCTCCAGTGTCTACATGGTAGATTTCACCTGATGCTGCCCAGGCTATCACTGTATGTAACTCTCTACCATCCAGCCGTATTTTAGGTCAGTTCTTCATAACTAAAGTTGGAAGTGAGATGGTAGAACTTCAGGTTCATGACAGCTCCTCACTCTGTCTTTATGAAAATCCATCATGCCCATGTCAGTTTCCAACCTGTCAAAGAATCTGAGCGACACTTTTTTTTTGTGTCCTAGAGAATGTGACTTGGAGCTCACCATTGGGCTGATGAGAGAACATATACAGCTATGTCTGATGAATCATTCTTTCCCAGCTCTGACATGCAAATGGAAGGCAATCGGGGAATAATGTTAGGAGTAGGCTCAGAGACACTACTATACCTATGCAATTTTTAACATCTAGATTCATCTTTATTAAAATAATAAATAATAAAAATAATAAAATAAGAGCTCTGTCTGCTCTTATATTTAGAGGACCATTTCTAGCACCTGCATTTCTAGTTCACAACTGACTAACTCCAGTTCCAGGATATCTGATGCCCTTGTCCGGCCTCTGCATTCACTGTGTGCACAAGGTACATAGACATACATTCAGGCAAAATAAAAATAAAACATCAAAAAATAAAATAATTAGTTGTAAAATTTAACCTTTCTATAATTAAGACAGTGCATTTCATACACACCTAGTAAGATGATTTTCACAGTTGCCATGATTGTGCCATATCAGAATCATAGACAAACATATTTATGTCTTTACAATGTCAGAGTTTATTTAATAACAGTAAATTCACAAGATATAACAGTTTCAGTGAAAGCAACTGTGAAGTATTCCTGTTTTCCTTGGTAATCGTGGCTGACAAAAAGTTTTTAAAAATATTAAAGAACTTATTCTTAATTCACACATTAAAAGCCACGCAGTATGTATATTTGTTTAGGTTTCTATTACTGTAATAAAACACCATGAACAAAAAGCAATTTGGAGAAGAAAGGGTTTGTTTGGCTTACAGATGATAGTTCATTGTTTATTGAAGCCAGTGCAGAAACTGAAACAGTGACCATGGAGAAATGCTGCTTACTTGCTTGCTTATATTGCTTTCCTTTTTTTTCCATTTTGTTTTGAAATTTGTTTATGTGTATGTTTTTGTACCATAGGCATGCATGGAGGTCAGAAGGGGCTTTGGATCCTGTGGTACTGAATTTTTTATGGATATTTATGACGCCACCCTATGGGTGCTGGGAATCGAATCTCTGTCCTCTGCAAGAACAAGTTCTCCACCCCACAACCCCCAAAAGGATTTCTCTGTGTATCCCTGGCTGTCCTGGAACTCACTCTGTAGACCAGGCTGGCCTCAAGAGATCCACCTGCCTCTGCCTCCCAAGTGCTGGGATTAAAAGCGCGTGCCATTACTGCAGGGCAGAACAAGTGCTCTTAAAGGCTAAACCATCCAGCTCTATCGTCTTGCCTTCCTATTTCACTCATGAACACTGGTTTAGTGGTAACACTGCCCACAATGCGCTAGGACCTCTTCTATCAATTTACGTTCAAGAAAATGCCCACAGACTTACCTACAGGTCAGTCTGATAGAGACATTTTGCCAGTTGGGGTTCCTCTTCCCAGATAACTAACTTGTGTAAAGTTAACAAAAAACAACAAAACAAAGCAACTAGGACTCACTCCCCCCCCCCCCCCCCCCCCCCCGTGTAGGTTGACTGCAGAGGATTGACGAGGAAAGGCATTTATTTCAAAGAGGTCTGAGAAACGAGAGCTGGGAAATGTAAAGAAGTCTATAGGAACGAGTAAAAGAACCAGCTGGAGGTCTGTGGAGAGGAACTGCTGGTATTGTAGGTCAGAGTTGGTCTGTAGTGCTGAATCTAGCTAAGTGAAATGACAGAATTAAGACCAGGTGAAGAAAAGGTTAAACGGATCCATACGTTAGGCAGACAGCAGTTGAGACATTTGGGTAGGCTCTGCCTGTCAGTCCCGGCTCAGAGACCCTCCTGGAACCCTTCCACGGCTCGGCGTGTGGCAGTTTCTTCTCGTCACCCGGTACCTCCCTCCGATCCAGGGTACTTCAGGGCCGCCCGCCGCCAGCCTTCTCCTGTCAACAGCCGGTGTTCCAGGCAGAGAGCCCCGTGCGCACGCGCAGGCCCTGTACGGAAAGCTAGGGAAGGATTATCTGCGTTGACCAATGGCGTGTGCGAGGCTGCCCGCCGCAGTGCCTTCTGGGAACGTACCAATGACCGATTCCAAGGGGCGTCT